TTGCTTCTAGATAATTTCACATTAATTTGGGAGTACCCAAGGGCTCTATCCTTGGACCTAAGTTGTTTTTTATCCGATGTCATCAGGTCCAAACTAGTTAGTTATATGACACAACTATTTGTTCTTGTGCTAATAGTAAATCCATTAGCTTTGATAAAATAAAACTGGCAGCTGCTGTTAAGAATGACCACCAATCAGATGCTAATTGGGCAAGGAATGGCTTGTAAATTTTAACGACTGGTGATATTGTAAATGAGCTTTATCGTCGAGAATTTGGAGATCAGCGCACTTTCAATATATTTTATTTACCGAATCATTTTTCTGATAATACTGACATTTCTCAGGACGGAATTATGGTCCGATGTTACGGTGGATTTAAAGTGCATATCCCTGCAATTCACATACAGTCTTTTTTTGATTTCAAAAGGTGTGTCATTGGGTGTAATCTATTTTGTATATTTTTGTGCCTGTCATTTCGCTTGTGTCTTGGATCAAAGTTGTATTAATTTTCAATGGCGGCTGTTATGGAGTCAGTGGGTAAAATTATGTGCCTAATTTTGCCAGGCTTATTGCAGTTATTACTATTTATAGATTTTTCTCCTGTGGATTTTCTAGGGTTTGTGTTTGGCATTATACAGGACATAGTTCGGCTATTGGAGAAATTCTGTCTGTTTCATATATGTTATATATATATATATATATATATATATATATATATATATATATATATATTCGCCTTTCTTTCAACCGTGCGCTGATGGCTTGGGGAAAATCTCCGACTGTTGAGGAATCAGTCGGATTTCGATTGCAGCTTGAAGCAATCGGATGTCTAACTACACTGATGAGCTGCGAAACAGTCTGTCTGTCGATATATATATATATATATATATATATATATATATATATATATATATAAAAATACTGAGAAGGAACAGTAAGATATATAATCCGGTGTTCATATTAATTATTTTTTATTTTATATGTATGTATATATATATATATATATATATATATATATATATATATATATATATATAGATCCTACTGGAATTCGATTCCTCAATCAAAGCCGATAATAGCCTTGAGAAAGGTATCCTCTTCTTCCCCCGCCAGCTATGGATAAATAGTAGGGCAAACTGGTTTCGATGGCCTTGGATGTCAACTGGTCTAGAAGAAGAACAATTCTGAATTCTGAAATCTGCGGAGTGTCGTTTGGGGTCTTTTGGGGCAAATAGTGCACCAGGTCTCTGTATTCGGCACTTCCAAATGTGTGGTCGCTTCTGCAGAAAGCCTTCACCACTATCATTAAATCATATGTGCAGGTGACTGGCTGTCGGTTCCTAGGAATTGGATTGCTTGACCCCCTTACGTCGAGAAAGTGACGGAAGAATCCTGAATATATATATACAGTGTAACCCGGATATAAGAGAGTTGTCGGGACCGGAGAAGTAGTCTCTTATATCCGGGTTTCTCTTATATCCGGGTTTGGTCTAATTTATATACATTAACACAGGCTCTAATTTGGGATCAGAGAAAATCTCTCTTATATCCGGGTTTCTCTTATATCCGGGTTACACTGTATATATATATATATATATATATATATATATATATATATATATTAATTGATTTAAAATATGGTTATTTTCGCTACACAGTTCCAACCATGTTTCAAAAATAGAAGCTAAAAACCCCTAATTTATATATATATATATATATATATATATATATATAAAGCGTTGGGATACTGAATATAGCATCACCGATGTAAAACAAATATATATATATATATAAATTAATTGATTTAAAATATGGTTATTTTTTCGCTATACAGTTCCAACCATGTTTCAAAAATATAAAACCCTAATTTATATATATATATATATATATATATATATATAAAGCGTTGGGATACTGAATATAGCATCACCGATGTAAGTGACAAATTTTATATTTGTAGTAATTATTTATGTAAAGAACGAAATACAATTTTTCTAATTCAAGAAATGACTAGAACGCACAAAAATGAAAAACGATGTGTCTAGAAAACCGGAAATCAAATATCAACAAATGAATACAACTGAAAGAAAAGACTAGAAAATAGAGTTAAAAGCCAAGGAATGAATAGAAAGTGATAAAAAAAAAAAAAAAAAGCAAAGGAGAAATAATCACAATTTACAGGTCCGCACATCCGCGGTAAAAGGTAGCATTATAACGTAGATATAAATATTCACATGTATATATTTATTAAAAAAATATATATATATATATATATATATTTAAGCATATAAATAACCACATTTGCAAATATACTAGATAATATTGTCTCAAAACGGTGATATATAATTAGATATTTACTTAATTTAACTTAAATTAGATATTAACTTCTAGTATTTTATGTAATTGTGGTTATAACGTCATCTGGTATCTTTGCTAATGTAATTATTTACGAGCATTCATTCATATATATATATATATATATATATATATATATATATATATATATATATATATATATGTATATATATATATATATATATATATATATATATATATATATATATATATATATATATATATATATATATATATATATATATATATATATATATATATATATATATATATATATATATATATATATATATATATATATATATATATATATATATATATATATATATATATTTGGTTGGATAGATGTGAGTTTGTGACCCTGGGTTTCACGCTTTAGCGATCGTCAGACAAACTGATTACTCTATCTAAATATGTTAGCTCTATCTCTGATATTGAGCGCTTTCTAATAAGTACCATATATATAATATATAAATAATTATACATATATATATTTATTTATTTTATATTCACTTTTCACATATATATATATATATATATATATATATATATATATATATATATATATATATATATATATATAATGTACATATGTAGATGTGGTATGATATTGGTGAGTAACTCTCTATTATATATTTTATATATTTTTTTATATAATTACTTCGATGTGAATATCAATATTTAGATTATAATTCCAACTTTGTAAGTTGAAGTAATTTGTGTGGGTGTACGTTTTATCATTTTTTTTCTTTCTTTCTGTTTATTTTACATGCAAAATTTCTAACTTTGTTTCACTTATATTTATTTCTGTGTTTATTTTGAATATAAGATACATTTTTTGAACAACTATCCTCAACATTGTCTCAAAAACGGTGATATATAATTAGATATTAACTTCTATTATTCTAGTCAAAGCATCGACACAAGCATACATTTGCATGTGTACGCGCGTCTGTATGTGTATATATGTGCACGTGTATATATATATATATATATATATATATCCATGTATGTTTGTGTACGTGTGTGCAAGCGTATAATACAAGCATATGCACATAAATTCAAACAATAATAAATAAAAATTTAATTTAAAACATAATCTCCTACAATTAATACTTTAAGTACTTAAGATACCACCAAACCAAATAAGAAAATCAAATAATACCCAAGTGAAGACATATATAAATATCCACTTTGTAATTTAAAGCATTAAAATTAATTATTTATGCAAAAAACGAAATACAATTTTTCTAATTCAAAAAAGACTAGAACGCACAAAAATTAAAAAAAAAGACGTGTCTAGAAAAAATAACCGGAAAACAAATAGCAACAATTGAAAGAAAAGAGGAAAAAAAAAAAAAAAGAAAAGGCTAAAATTTGAGTCCAAAATGTAAAAAAGCGACAGTAAAAAAAACAAAAACCCCCCAAAAAACAAGTATAAGGCCAAATAAACATGCATTCTATACGTACGCACACACCTGCACACATGGGCGCACGCGGGCAAACATGCACACACACACACACACACACACCGCAGACACACACAGTACAAAAAAGTCATACAACACGAACAATTGCCTATCAAAAATAAAAATCGAGAAGTATTAGCAGTCAATTGCTGATACTCATGATGAGTGGATGGTCGGGTCTGTCTACGAAACTCTGGAGTCGGGATGCTGAAAGTAACATCAATGTGCTAAGCTACGAAACTTTTACTTATAATAATTCTAAATATATGTGTGCAAAAAGGACATAACATCCGTAGAAAGTTTTTAATAAGTATGACTAATTGATAACTGTTTCATTGAAATTAGATTTGATTACTCGTTTCGCCTTTCTAGGCTTCGTCAGATCTAAAAAACGAAAGAGAGAAATCTGTGTGTGTGCGCATTTGTGTGTTTGCTTAACTAATAAATCACGAGTACATTTTCCGCTAAGCTGGCGTTTCTCGTGATGAAAGAAAAGAATGAAAATAAGTGACTCTTAAAAAAGCCTTTAGTATTTTTATTTTCTATCTTTTCTTTATAATTCTTCGTCTTCATGTTGAAAGTTATTTATATTCTCGCAATTATTAATATTTTCTGTAGTAAATTTAAAGTAAATCCTCGTCTTATTTTCAGAATGGCTTCAGAGTAGACGATTCATATAGACTTTTCGGAAACTAATTAAAGGCAAATCCTTATCGAATTTTTCAGAATCGGTTGAAAGCAAAAGATTTATATAGGTAATCTATAAAGCAGAAGTAAAAGATATTAATGGCCAAAATAAAACGTATATTTCATGAACTGAAGATACTTTCAAACGTAGATGGTACAATCATAGGTCGTTATTCAAGCTAGTAAATCTTAGGTACTCTACCAAACTAGCTGACCATGTGTGGAATTTAAAAGAAAAGACAACAGGATCCGATTGTAAGGTTGGAAATTAAAAAAAAAGGCAAAGCCTTACAACAGTCAGGACAGTATTTACAACCTCTGCCAACAGGAAATATTAGGATATTTCCGGATTCAAAGAAAATTTTGAACCAGAAATCCGAAGTCTTGAGTTCTTGCAGACATATTAGAAAATTCCTCTTAAGCACATATGTGGCCGGATAATAAAAAAAATATGTATTTCAATTAACCCCGCAACGATACACTTATAAGACCCTTGCCTTCCGTCTCTTCCCCCTCCTCCTCGTCCCACTCTCCATCCTCCTCCCCTCCTCCTCCTCCCTTCTTTCTCTCCTCCTCCTCCTCCTTCTTCTTCTTCTTCTTCTTCTTCTGCACTCAACGTCATGCGTTTGTCTATTTATTAAAAAAATATAATATAGCATTCATTATTTTAAAAAATAAAGCGTTAGGAGGTCATTTGATAAAAATGGCCTGAGGATACCGTAAGAATTCAAATGACCTCCTGAATTTTAAAGTATATATATATATATATATATATATATATATATTTAATATATATATATATATATATATATATATATATATATATATATATATATATATATATTATCCTCATATTTTTATTGCCATATTCATTTAGGTTATTGTACGCTCCAGCCTTCTTTAGGTGGTTTGAATTTTGAACTGAACCCTTTATTTCGGCCACCGGAGTAGATTGTTCTATTTTCGCGTGCTATGCCCTCAAGGACACATGGCCTAGTGGATAAAAGCTTTGGTTGGATCCGGTGACTTGACCCAAAGAGTTGTGAGTTCAATACCTGGTTACTGCAGTGCTGAATAATAACTTTGAGAGTTGAGTTAAAGGGAGATAACTAAGACATCCGAAAGGGGCATGGCACGTAGAACAAGAACACTTTACTCCGGTGGACGAAATAAAGGGTTCAGCTCGAAATTCCAATCACCAGGCAGGAGTGTTCAACGGCCGAAAAGTCGTGAATATCGTCCTTATAAGGATGGTGACAACAGTCGGAAATAATAATTACAATACCTTATCTCTGATATATATATATATATATATATATATATATATATATATATATATATTTCACCCCAGGCAAAGCGGAAATACCACTAGTACGCCGGGGGTTACAGAGAGTGAAGGTGAGAGAAAAGACTATGTAAAGGAGGGGCCGAGGAAAGAATGAAAGCCGAACGGAGTTCAAGAAGATGGCAATTGATGTTGCATTTAAACTTTTGAAGATTGTAGTTATCAGGGAAGCAAGGAAAGGGAAAGGAGAAAAAACTCTTGAGTAGAAGTGGTAATTGCATTTGACTAATTCAACAGTAAGAGGGTGGGACCTAAATGCCAGTCTAGTAGCACAGTTAAAATCACGAAGTCGGAGCACTAAGGAAAAAAGCTCGTCAGAGCAGTAGCCATGAAAATATATGTAGAAATGACAGAGGGAAGTATATATGTATGTGTGTGTATGTGCTGGTGTTAATCAAACAGGGCGGCGCATAGAAGAAGAAGAAGAAGAAGAAGAAGAAGAAGTGATTACTTATAGGTGAAGTAAAAAGAAAGGAAGGAGAGAACGCAGTAAATATGACAACAAAGAAGAAGAAAAAGATTAAGCAAGAGGAGGAAGAAGAAGCATAAGAAGAAGAAGAAGAAGAAAAGGAAGAAGAAGAAGAGATTACTTATAAGTGAATGGAAAAGAAGAAGGAAGGAGAGAACGCAGTAAATATGAGAACAAAGAAAAAGAAAAAGATTAAACAGAAGAAGAAGAAGAAGAAATATTACTGACAAGCGAAGTAAATGAAAAAAGAACGCCATAAATATGATAAGAAAAAAGAAAAAGATGAAACTGAGGTATATGGAAAGAAAACGAGGATAAATAAGAAATTAGTGGAATGTTCTGAAGAATAGAAAAAAAAAATGTTTAATGTGGATGAAAGTAGAAAATCATAAGAAAAAACAAAAATGAAACGAGCGACTGGAGCCTCGGCATCGTCTTCATCAGTAGAAGAACTCGAAACGATATTATTAACGGCGGGTAAAATATGAGAAAAACACATATGAAATCAACTGACACCAGAAATGGAAGACGAATTGAGAAATTTAAAAGCTACATAATGATACGAATTTTCCGTTTCACTCCTTATTTCTCTGTTGCAAGAGCAAACGAACCCATCTCTCTTTTCCATCTTCAAGTGTCTTGCACCTCTTCACACGTTGTACAATCATAGAACGGGTGTGGCAGAGATGGTAGAGCGGTATGGGTGCTATGTCGCTGATAAAAGAGATCAGGAAGCGTTGGGAACGAATATGGTGGCGGTTAACGACTTTTTTTCTTTCATTTTTTTTTCTCTTTTTTAATCTTTTTTTATTTTATTTTGTTGATGTGCTCGAAGTACCTAACTGGCTTCATTTTCCCGAGTGTAACGTGTAGATTAAAATTGAACTTCGGAATTGTTATTCAACTCCGAACAATTGACGACTAACTTTGACTTATTGGCAAAATGCGGAGGTGGAACAAGAAGAATGATTCAGGAAAGAAGGAAAAAAAAAAAAATGCAAAATCAATAAGAAAAAAACAAAACAAAACAAAAAAAAACAGAACTAAACAAATGAAAGATATGTAAAAAAAAAAAAATGTGGAAGAGAGAAATACCGATTTGAAGGGAGTAAAGAAACAAAGAATATAAACGGGCAGGGCTCAATTCGAAACAGATTTTGCTTAGCCCCAATTTCCTTCGGTACTAAAGATTCCCAACGTGGAGCGCATGCCCCACCGGTGGGGTATGGTAATATTTTGCTTGGGTATGCGTAGGATGTGCACCCTTCGGCTTACTATAGCAACGTGAGCGCAAATTTCATTTTGAATTATTATTTCATGATTAAAATGATGAAAGTATGTTACAAAAATAAGCTTTCATTCATATATTTTATATTTCTGCTTTCAGTTCTCTGTTATATGTTTTGAAACTATATATATATATATTTAACTGTCTTTTTATTTTTCTCTTTCCTGGACGCCATAGGCCTTTGAGGCTTGTTTAGAGACTAATGGCCTTTTAACACTCCGCGTGAATTGCAGTAAAATTTTGGATATGTAGGAATTAAATATTACAAGGGATCACCAGAATTTTAAAAATACCAAAGTGGGGTATGACCCAAAATTGGTTTGGAACCATGGTCCTAGACGTAATCTCTTCAAGATCGTAGAATTCGTGGAATCATTCATGTGGGAGTCTGTTCCACAAAGTAGCGATTCTCTGGAAGATGTTTTCTGGGTGTAAGATACTTCTTACCAATGGAATATGTAAGGAATGATGGTGATGTTCGCTGTTAAGATCTCTGCTGACGGCATTATTTCATAATTAAAATGATCAAAGTATATTACAGAATAAGCTTTCATTCAAATATTTTATATTTCCGCCTTTCAGTTGTCTATTATATGTTTTGAAACATATATATATATATATATATATATATATATATATATTTCTGTCTTTTGGTTTTTTTTAAATTTTTCTCTTTCATGGATGCAATGGTCTTTGGAGGCTTGTTTAGAGACCAAGTTTTTTTTTTAAGCTTCCTTGAATATGTAAGAATTGAATATTACGAGGGTGGGGCACCAGAATTTTAGAAATACCAAAGTGAGGCACAATTAGAGACATACCGAATTTAAAGGTATATATAACGTACGGGTATATTAAAGCCACACCCATTTTAGTAAGGCTTATTCATGAAAAGAAGTCTAGTGCAAGTAATTCTTAAAGCAAGTTATCTGCACATTACAAAACGTTACAAAATACCTTAGCTGCAGAATAATTGTTCTTCTTCTTCTTCTTCTTCTTCATTTTTACTTTTCTTCTCCTCCATTTCTCTACTTCTCTCTCTCTTTCTTGGCAACTTCTTTCAATTCTTTTCTTCTTCTTTTACTTCTCTATTACTCAACTTCTCTCTCTCTTTCTTGGCTTCTTCTTCTTCTTCTTCTTCTCTATTACGCAACTTCTCTCTCTCTCTTTCTTGTCATTTTTCTCTAACAATTCTTCTTTTCTTGTTTTTTCAGTTCTTTTCTTCTTCTTTTACTTCTCTATTACTCAACTTCTCTCTCTCTCTTTCTTCTTCTTCTTCTTCTTCTTCTTCTTCTCTATTACAACTTCTCTCTCTCTCTCTTTCTTGTCATTTTTTCAATTCTTCTTTATTTTTCAACTCTTTTCTTCTTCTTTTACTTCTCTTTTCTCAACTTCTCTCTCTCTTTTTTTCTTGGCTTCTTCTTCTTCTTCTTCTTCTTCTTCTCTATTACGCAACTTCTCTCTCTCTCTTTTCTTGTCATTTTTTTTCTCCATTCTTCTTTATTTTTTTCAACTCTTTTCTTCTTCTTTTACTTCTCTATTACTCAACTTCTCTCTCTCTTTCTTGGCTTCTTCTTCTTCTTCTCTATTACACAACTTCTCTCTCTCTCTTTCTTGTCATTTTTTCAATTCTTCTTTTTTTTCAACTCTTTTCTTCTTCTTCTTTTACTTCTCTATTACTCAACTTCTCTCTCTTTTCTTGGCTTGGCTTCTTCTTCTTCTTCTTCTTCTTCTTCTTCTTCTTCTTCTCTATTACGCAACTTCTCTCTCTCTTCTTTCTTTTCATTTTTTTAATTCTTCTTTATTTTTTACAACTCTTTTTCTTCTTCTTTTTCTTCTTCTCTTCTCTATTACTCAACTTCTCTCTCTTTCTTGTCTTTTTTTTCTTCTTCTTGGCTTCTTCTTTTACTTCTTCTTCTTCTTCTTCTTCTTCTTACTTCTTCTTCTCTCTCTCTCTCTTTCTTGTCATTTTTTTCAATTCTTCTTTATTTTTTCAACTCTTTTCTTCTTCTTTTACTTCTCTATTACTCAACTTCTCTCTCTCTTTCTTGGCTTCTTCTTCTTCTTCTTCTTCTTCTTCTTCTCTATTACGCAACTTCTCTCTCTCTTTCTTGTCATTTTTTTCAATTCTTCTTTATTTTTTCAACTCTTTTCTTCTTCTTTTTTCTTCCTTCTTCTTTATTACTCAACTTCTCTCTCTCTTTCTTTCTTCTTCTTTATTTTTCTTCTTCTTCTTCTTCTTCTTCTTCTTCTTCTTCTTCTTCTTCTCTATTACACAACTTCTCTCTCTCTCTCTTTCTTGTCATTTTTTTCAATTCTTCTTTATTTTTTCAACTCTTTTCTTCTTCTTTTACTTCTCTATTACTCAACTTCTCTCTCTCTTTCTTGGCTTCTTCTTCTTCTTCTTCTTCTTCTCTATTACACAACTTCTCTCTCTCTCTCTTTCTTGTCATTTTTTTCAATTCTTCTTTATTTTTTCAACTCTTTTCTTCTTCTTTTACTTCTCTATTACTCAACTTCTCTCTCTCTTTCTTGGTTTCTTCTTCTTCTTCTTCTTCTCTATTACACAACTTCTCTCTCTCTCTCTTTCTTGTCATTTTTTTCAATTCTTCTTTACTTTTTCAGTTCTTTTCTTCTTCTTTTACTTCTCTATTACTCAACTTCTCTCTCTCTTTCTTGGCTTCTTCTTCTTCTTCTTCTTCTCCTCTATCCCTCAACTACTCTCTCTCTTTCTTGGCATTCTTTTTCAATTCCTCTTTCTTTTTCAATACTTCTTCTTCTTCTTCTTCTTCTTCTTCTTCTTCTTCTTCTTCTTCTTCTTCTTCTTCTTTCAGGACGTCGCCTATCATGTCTCGCTAAAATTTCCTGTCCGTTACCACTCTTAGAAAATTTCCTCATTTTGCTATCTCCCCTAAACCTGTTCTGTCATTCATTTACACAAACCTGTAAGGCAGGATATGCGATGTTTTCCTCTGAACCTCTTACTTTCAATACATCTTGTGGGTATAACATTTCCAAGCTCTCTTTCCTCATTATGCGCGCTAGAAATTTCAACTCCCTTTTTCTGATGTTAAGTAGAAGTATCCTTTTCGCTTCCATTTTCTCTAAAATTTTGGTCGTTGCACACATGTTCAGTCCATAATATCCTCATCATCCTTCTGTAAAACCACATTATTATCACCTCAAGTTTCTTCTATATCTGTGCGGAGACGGTTCAGCGTTCATTGTCATACAGGAGGACTGATATTACATAACAGTTCAGCACTGTACATAAAAAGCCAGCTGGCAGTGCAGTTGAACAGAAAGCAATAAATCATTTTTCTTTCACACTACAAGTAATAATAAAAATTTGGACTACACAATAGACACAGACAGAACATTCAAATCTAACCTTCCAGACATTGTTATTCGAGACTGCAAAAAAAGCCTCCTCAGTGATAGGGCAGTCCCTGCAGACTGCAATGTATATTTGAAGATCTTTAAAATGTTATCAAAATACAAGGACCTTGAAATCGAAATCTCAAAAATGTGGCACATGGGAACATCAACAATCCCTGTTGTAGCTGAAGCCCTCGGATTGGTTGGAAAAGATTTCAGTAGACAAATTGAAGGGAATCCTGGAAGTTCATGCCTTAAAGAAATACAGCTCACACCTTACGAAGGGCTTTATCTATGTAAAATATGTGTGCGTGTGTTTTTTTTTTAATTAGTCAGTGGAAAATGTCATGATGCCATTTCTAACCTTAGGTCCCTGGGCGGAACCCGGAAAGAAATGTATATACACCAGAAATCAAAGGAAATAATAATAATAATAATAATAATAATAATAATAATAATAATAATAACTTGATGAAACTGTTGATCACATAGTATCAGAGTTCATTGTCCTTGCTGAGAAAGAATAAAAATCTTAGATCTGAGAGGCCAATATATTTATTGGTATATTTGTTCGGACTATGGTATTGAAATCTTTAATGCACGGTACAAACACCACACAAATAGTGATGGAATGTCTGTATTATGGAATCTTCCAATCTCCACAGACAGGAAAATGTATGTAAATAAACCAGACATAAGCATAAGATTTCCAAAAAGTAACCTGCCAACTTATTGACATAACTTACCAACAGAATTCCAATGATTCTAAAGAATTTCAAAAAGAGTCAAATTTGTAAGGACCTGTAAATCGAAGTAAAACATTTGTGGGAACTTAAAACTAGGATTATCCCTGTTGCCATAGGGGTATTGGGTATGATAAAGAAGGGTACCAAAAATCATGTGAGTAAAATTCCTGAACACGTCATCATCTCAGAGCAACAAGAAATTACTTTGTGCGAAAGTGCACATATCATCCCCAAACCCTCTCCATTTAAACGAAACCTCTCAAATATGCACTGTTAACTTTCCTACACTACCCTTCTTACTCATAGACTTCGGAGAGAACTTGGTAAGTAGGAACTTAAAATTATTCCCCGGCAAGATGATACCACAAATAACAACAACAACAACAGCAATAATAATAATAATAATAATAAAGGAATTTTCAAGTAGGTAAAAGTTTAAACAACATAAATAAATAATAATATTAATAATAGAAATAATAATAATAATAATAATAATAATAATAATAATAACTTGATGAAACTGTTGATCACATAGTATCAGAGTTCATTGTCCTTGCTGAGAAAGCCCTTCGTAAGGTGTGAGGAAATTTTCTAGACGTTGTGAAATTAAGTGCAATGCCATATTGGCCTCACGGTCTCATCAAGTTACGGTTGAAATGGTTAGATGTAACCGTAGGTCTTGTGCTAACAGTCTGGTAATTTAATCGTAATAAATTGTGCCAACTTAAAACTAGGATTATTCCTCTTATGATAGAGGCATTGGGTATGATAAAGAAAGGGTACCGAAAATCATGTGAATACAATTCCTGGACACGTCAGCATGTCAGAGCTACAAAAGATTACTTTGTGCGGAAGTGCAGATATAATCTGATAAAACCTCCCCATCTAAACGAAACGTCACAAATGTGCATAGATGACTCTCCAACAGCGGCCATTTTTATTCGTAGACCCCGGAGGGGACTTGGTAATTAAGCATCTAAAATTACTCTCTGGCAAGTTGATACCACAAATAATAATAATAATAATAATAATAATAATAATAATTACATTATCTTTCATCAGATACAATTGTTTGACCCGAGAGGTGGCATTTAGCTAAAAGATGGTTTTCTAAATTGAGAAAACAGTGTCACATTAATCGTTTCTTGATTTGTATTTACCTTTATGCAGATGTGCAATGAAAAAAAATTTACGATGCTATTTCTGAGTCTAAGTCTCTTGTTGGGACGGGAGAGGAAACATTTGTACAACGGAAATCTATCATATTAATATAATCTAGACGTTGTGAAATTAAGTGCAATGACATATTGGCCTCACGGTCTCATCAAGTTACAGTTGAAATGGTTAGATGTAACCGTAAGTCTTGTGCTAACAGTCTCTTCACTCGCACTTCTTGCCCGTGGAACTCTCGTCCGGCTTCTTACTTTCCAGTTAAGTTTAATCTTCAAAAATTTAAATGCAATATCAATCGTTATCTTCTGTCTTCTTAATTCCAGTTCTTTCGTTGTTCTCTTTGTTAGATAATAATGCTTTCTTTTTCTCAGATTCTCTCACCTTCAGTAACCTCTTGCGTCTTAGTGGCTCTATTGCCTTAGTTGAGGTTAAAAAGATTTATATATATATATATATATATATATATATATATATATATATATATAGAGAGAGAGAGAGAGAGAGAGAGAGAGAGAGAGAGAGTTAAATCGACCAATGTTAAGAACTCTATGGGCAGAATGCGTGAATAAAGAGGATGTTTTTAAGAACTGGGATTAGAAAGCTGACATTTCTGGGGAATATAATGAAGAAAGAAGGTTTGGAAAATTTAACACGCGCATGACATATTTGAAGGCATATTATTTCTTTTCCTATCTCGTTAATTTTATCTTTTCCATCTTTTTTTTTAAACTTTTTTTTTTAATTTCCTCATCTCTCGTGATATTTCTCGTCTCTTCTGTTTTTTTACAGTAAGTCTCACCCTATACAAGGCCCGGGGGCAACTCGAGGTAGAGCGTTACGTTAAGTGGGTAGTTTATATAGATAAGATAACGATTAACCCCAGCCTTGAACAGTTAAGATTGTAATAATTAGGGAAACCTCCTCTTGGGAGTAGGTGTTCCACAGAACAAGGGTTCACGGGTAAAAGCTGTTCGAATGGAACGATATAATACGGATGGAATGTGGATGGTTTGCTACTATATAAGTGGTATAGCGACTCCTAGTCGCGAAGGTTAGATCTGGCAGAACCAACGAATGTAGCTCGCCCGAGCACTTTCCATGGAAGTAACAATCGAGCAGTTAGAGAATTGCCATAATCCACCTGTGAGTGATAGGCTGAAGGGTGGAAAATAATTCTTCTCCAACAAGGACACGTAGGCGCTTTTGAGACTGGAAAATGAGAACTAAGCATCTCCTGTCCAAATATGGCAACAGTATTCCATTTTCAGCCTGATCTGGCTCTTATAAAAGTAGAGGAGAGCGTGAGTAGTCCGTTACTTACTGGAGCGGTGCAGGGAGCCGATAATCTTACCTGCATATTTAGAGATGGATCGTATATAATTAGGGGCGTCACATGTACTGCACTGCTGCTGTTGTGGCAGTGGTGAGTCTAGGAAAAGATAGCTTGCGCGTGCGCATTCAAAGCTTCCTTTTTGTTATACTGGTTGCCACCTAAGGGCAAGAGAGCTAAGTCTGTCATACTATTTAACTCATAGGTGGAGGCGGGAGAAAATTGGATGAATACTTTTCCACAGAGTATTTGTGCGAAAATGAACTTAACGAAATCTCCGGTTGATGATTCGCTAGCCACAAATCCACTCATCCTGATTATGTTCGCAATAATTCCTCTGTCTTTCCTTTGACTTTCACACAGCACCTTTTTTATTCCAGTTCTTTTCCTGACGTCTTTAAAAAAAAGAAAGAAAAACCCTCAAAAACCTGACATTCTTCTCCTCCACATCCCCACTCTTCACTTCCCGGCATCCTTTTCGCTTTCAATACAAACCGACATTTGAACATTGTCAATTTCGACAGACGACAATGAAATCGATAAGAGGCCTGATGCTTTCTAAAATATTCATCAATTCTGTTTGCGCCTATTCTTGTCCGTTGATCGATCCGAACGAATTGATAACGGGGGAAAAATATAGTTCAAACAGAAACTATCAAATTGATAAATAAAAGCGTTCCACATTCGGCATTTTCAAAAATCAGAGCAAATACGACGACTGTCGGTGGTATGACTTTATTTCCCTCTACATCGCTAGCCACCGACTTCAGTCATTTCAAGCGCGCCACGTCGTGATGTCATGATAAGGAGGTCTACCTCACAGGATTCTTCCTAGTGAGTTCGATTCTCACCGGGTGTCAAACTGTAATCCGATCAAAGTACAGACTATTAAGAACACGAGAGTAAATTTATTAACAAAATTTAGTGTATACACCTGCAGACCTCAGCAAGTGGGGGTAGTGGACTTGCAAGATTTCTCCGAGCGTGAGGTTTTTTTCTACCATGCCCCTCTTAGGTGGGCGTTTATATATCTTCCTGTCATCCAGTTCTCTCACATGTGCATATCCTAAGTTCGACTTTATTCTTCTTAATGGGCCGTGTCCCATCAGGGCGCAGACGATCATGGCTCTCTACAACTACCTGTCTTTCGTAGCTCTTAATATATTTTGTCTTTTGCTATTATTGTCCTAAAACTTGTTCTGTCATCCATTTACTCAAGTTCATTAAGTAGGTTATGTGTTGTTTTTTTCTGTCTCTCTTGCCTTCAATCTGTCTTGTGAGTATCAGATTTTCTAAGTCCTCTTTCCTCATTATGTGCCCTTGCAACTGCGTCTTATTCTTCTACATTGCGTCGTATTTTCACTATCTCCATTTACAAAATTTCAACTGTCACTTTCTGATGTTAACTATATGTTGCTTTTTGTTCGCTTTTTCCCTTGTTGCTCACATGTTCGATCCATGGTATCCTCAATATCCTTCTGTAGAACCACATGGTACAACTACATGTCCATAAAAGTTTGATTGAATGGATAGACATTGTTTATGGATTATATTGTTGATATATGTTGGCGAGTTGGGGTAGTAGACTTGCGAGATTTCTCCGAACGTGGATACTTCTTTTCCCTCTCAGGTGGGGCGTTTATATACCTTCATGTCACCCGGTTCTCTCAGGTGTGCATGTCCTAAGTGCAGATGGTTCGTCCACCTGTCCATAAAAGTTTGGTCGACGAACACAAGACCCAGTATATGAAAGCGTTGGCTGATTGGCCCAAAAGTGACTTGACCCAATGAATTTTAAGTTGTCCACAGCGGATGGAATAATAATTTGGAGAGTTGACTTATCAAGAGGGATTAATTAAAGACCGTGGTATCCAAAGACATGGCACGAGGAATTAGAATAATTTACATATATACTAAATATATATACTAAATAAACGGTTCAATTCGAAATTCCGACGGATATTGCGAGAAGAAGACCGGAGTGTACAACGGCCGAAACGCCGTGAATATGACAGTCCGGACAACATAAATAGTGTAAATAGTTACGATATCTCATCTCAGAAATATAGACAGATGTTGAAGAAGGCTGGAACGTACAACAGCCGAAACGTTGTGAATATGACAACTAATCTGAGGACAACAGTCCGGACAATGTAAATAGTGTAAATAGATATAATACCTCATCTCAGAAATATAGACAGATCCTGTTGAAGGCCGGGGCGTACAATAGCCGAAACGTCGTGAATATGACAATAAAGATAAAGATAAAACTCGAATATTGTAAATAGAGTAAATAGATACAATATCTCATCTCAGAAATATAGACAGATCCTGTTGAAGGCCGGGGCGTACAATAGCCGAAACGTCGTGAATATGGCAATAAAGATGAAGATAAAACTCGAATATTGTAAATAGAGTAAATAGATACAATATCTCATCTCAGAAATATAGACAGATCCTGTTGAAGGCCGGGGCGTGCAATAGCCGAAACGTCGTGAATATGGCAATAAAGATGAAGATAAAACTCGAATATTGTAAATAGAGTAAATAAATACATTATCTCATCTCAGAAATATAGACAGTTGCTAGATAGATAAATAGAAATGATTTATGTCATATAACAGCAAAATTATCCAAATCATATAACAGCTTGGGATACTTGTCCATACCATAAAATATTTAATATCTAAAAAGAAAAACAAAAACAAAAAAATAAAACTAATTGAGTTTCTATTTCCCATCTTTTCAGATAAGACGTTTAGCCATCTTGACAGTGTCTTAAGAATTACTGAAAAACCTTTTTTGAGTTATTCAGCTAGAAAGAGAACAGGTTAAAATCGTTTTGCGTTAGCCCCACTAAAGACTTCCCAACTGAGCAATCGTGAGAGGAAAAAAATCATTCAGGTCTTCAATATTGGTACCAACATTCATACACTGGATTCCATCTTCAAACTTCATTCAAGAACCATCAAATGAATGGTGAATAATTTTTATACAGCGGGAATAGTAGAGAAGAAAATTGGATCAGGAGGTCACAACAGCAAGAGGGATCATCATTTTATCTTAGAGCTAAATACATTCTTATTGTTCAAAGTCCGATAGTGTTATAAAAATTCGGAGAATTCCAGTAAGATATCTTTATTCATTTCTAAGATAACCACGGTTCAGATTTTAATCTAACAATTGGACAATTTTGCTGTTACACAATTTGGACAATTTTGCTGTTACCCCCGGTATATTATTGAGGTGATTTATAATAGAAAGTGGAAGTCACTGTGTAAGGTGTTGCGCTAAAGACTCTATTTTACGCCTCTGCTTAAATTTCATTTCTTCTTGTACGATTTATCCAGTCTTTGATGGTTATTTCAAACCGAAAACATGTTGCAGAATTTACTTACAATACTAAGAATCACCCATCTTGGCCGGGCTGGATCTTTCTGATCGAAAAAGAATCGTTGTTTTACAACGTAAATCTACAACATAAAAATTTAGGTTCTATTATTTTTTTTTAAATTATCGTTTGGGAAATATTTAAAGATAAATCACACGCTCTGTATGATTAAAGAACGAAAATTTAATTAATTTTACGATTATCTCGATTATATTTTCTATTTAGAATATATATCAATATTTTATTTAATAGTAATCATGGTTTTAAAATCTTTACATTTGACGCATATAAAAAAAGAATTCTGTTTTTTAAATTATTTATCTAATGCTAAACGTCTGTGAATTGTACGTACGTCGGCTGCATAATGATTTTAGTTTCTTTCCACCTCTCTCGTTCCATCTCTATCTCTTTCTATCTCTTTCTACCCCCCTCTCCCTCCTTCCATTTCTCTCTCTTTCCACCTATCTCTTTCCATCTCTCCCTGCTTCCACATCTCTTTTGCCACCTCTGTCTCTTTCCACCTCACTCTTTCCACCTCTCTCCGTTTCCACCCTCTCTCTCTTGCCATCTGTTGCTCTTTCTACCTCTCTCTCTCTTTCCAACTCTCTCTTTCCACCTCTCCCACTTTGAACCTCTCTCTCTCTCTCTTTCCACCTCTCTCTCTTTCCACCTCTCTCTCTTTCCACCTCTCTCTTTCAACCTCCCCTTCTTTCCACCTCTCTCTTTCCACCTCTCTCTCTCTTTCCTACTCTCTCTTTCCACCTCCCCTTCTTTCCACCTCTCTCTCTTCCACCTCTCTTTCTTACCACCTCTCTCTCTCTTTCCTACTCTCTCTCTTTCCACATCCCCTTCTTTCCACCTCTCTCTCTTTCCACCTCTCTCTTTCCACCTCTCTCTTTCCACCTCCCCTTCTTTCCACCTTCCTGTGATTGCGTGCGTGCTTATTTATATTTCAGCTTTCTTAAGCAAACAATATTTTAAATATTTAAAAAAATATTTTTTGCCATATTTAAAAATATTTTCAAGTGAATATGATTTAAAATATTTTTGGCATGTTAAAGGCGTTGGTTAGATCCAGTGACTAGAGCCAGAGAGTTGTGAGTTCAATACCAGGCCACACAATGTTGATCCAAAACTTGGAGAGTTCAGTTCAAAGGAAATAACTGAGACATCCGGAAGAGGCTTGGCACATAGAACAATCTACCCCGGTTGACGAAATAAAAGTGTTCGGTTTGAAATTCCAATCACCTGAAGAAGGCCGAAACGTTGTGAATATGGCAATGAAGGTGAGGATGACGGTCCAAATAATGTAAATAATGCAAGTAATCATAAAACCTCATCTCAGAGATCCAATCACATGAAGAAGGCCGGTGCGTACAATAGCCGAAATGTTGTGAATATGTCAATTAAGATGAGGATAACAATTCGAATAATGTAAATAATGCAAGTAATCATAAAACCTCATCTCAGAGATCCAATCACCTGAAGAAGGCCGGAGCGTACAACGGCCGAAACGTTGTGAATATGTCATTGAAGATGAGGATAACAATCCTAATAATGTAAATAATGCAAGCTATCATAATACCTCATCTCAGAGATCCAATCACCTGAAGAAGGCGGGAGCTTATAACAGCCGAAACGTTGTGAATATGGCAATGAAGATGAGGTAACAGTCCATATAATATAAATAATGCATGTAATCATAATACCTCATCTCAGAGATATAGACAGCTATAAAAGAAGAAGAGTAATCTAGGATTTTATAGAGTTATGTCTATTAACTTAGCGTATCTAAGGAATAGCATAAATGACATGTGCCCTGGGCGCTGAATAAAGGGCGCTACTGAGCAGTGAAGTTGGACAATGCATCTCCGGATGTGAAAAAAAGTATGTTTTCAAAATCTATTATTATTGATAAAAATCACGAGGTAGCCATTTTAAATCAATGATAGGGCGGAGTAGTTAATGGTTGTTCCATTTTCTGTTACGCAGAAACGAATTATTTAAGACGTTGCATACTGAGAAAGACAATATTCGGAAAATGAAAAATTGGACCTGGTCTGAACAGTAACAAACGCCAGCTGATATGTTTAGAGAATGCAAACATTATGGAAACGGATTTTCTGTCAACACTAAATGGTGGAATAATATACATCGATGTTGGAAAGTATCAGACCGTGTGTCTGTAATACAGCTCGCTATTCTAGAATAAAGATACAAATGTCAACAAACAGAATGCCCAGCTAATAAAACCATGGAGTTCTACTTTGAAAAGACTGACTTCAAAAAGTTCAGAGGTCATCCAAGAACCATGATAGTCACAATGCGAGATATTCAAAGAACAAATAAAAAAGATCCCACTTTTCATTTGGAGAAGTTTATAATCGAGTAAGATCTGAAACAAATCCGCAAACTCACAGAGGACAGAGAAGGCTGGCAAAATATTGTCGAATCAGTATACAAGGTCACTGAAGATGAAAGAACATATTAATTCATGACATCAAATCGAAACAGTTTTGATGATGCTTTAAACGAGAAATATCCGTGATAATTTCACGATTTTCCTATTTGAATTTTCTGATGAATCCTAATTCTTAAGTTAATGACTAAAATCGCCCATGTTTAGTTCTATGACAATAATTTTTTTGACTAATGTTCGCCTAATACAAGGTCCAACAAGGCCCAAGAGCCACTCAAGGTATACTGTTACTGTGTGGACTTATATTAACGTAGGAAAGAACAAGAGTTAGGAGTACAGAGCCGAATCCAACTTTAGAAGGAACCGGAAACCCAATCTTTAAACAGGAAACAAGGGATGAATAAATTCCCCTATCACATCGTAAAATATTTTAGCTTGACAATTTTAACAAAATATTACAATAGCATTCGTAAATATGAAATAAATTAAAGAAGTAAGGGGGTACAAATAAAACTATTTGAAATTGTTAACTTTTTCCATTTCTCTGAATTTAAACACATTAAACACATGAAAGATTTATCGCATCTTTTATCTTCTTTCTTTCTTTCTTTCTTATTCTTACTGAAACCATGTAACGTCTCTGATATGTTTTTACCCTCTTTCCACGCGATCAAAATGGAGTAGTCTATTATTTATGAGGTAATGGATGATTGGTTCATTTTTTAGGGCTTATCAACCTTTTGCAGAACCAGAAAATATTTTTAGATTGTAAGAATTTCTTTTTCATTTATTTTATTATAATGGTTTAGTGATACAAGTCTTAAAAATTAACCCATACCTGGGGGAGAAGAGGTGGATTCCCACTTTTCTCCCAAGGGTATTTGCGTGTAAGTGAATACAACGAACCTAACGAGAATTGGAACTCGGCTCTCCGATTAACAATTCCGATCTATTATCCACTACACCACCCGCACATCCAAGCTTAAAGCACCTGGTGTTCCCAAGCGGTCACTCATCGAGATACTGGCCAAGCTTGACGTTGTTTAACTTCAGTGATCATACAAGAACCGGTGATACTGTGAAATAAGTATTGGTCGAACCTACGCTTCATTTTCTATATTTTGTATTTATTTCTTACCGCCACCTTTTTGATCGTATCGGAACCAATGTTTCGTCGTGATATGGCCATAAGCTTATGATTTGTTGGCAAGGTGTAACGCACACACGTGTTAACTAAGGAACTAAGAGATGGACGGACAAACAGAATTTTATATAAATTATAAGGCAAAATCTGCAGTGCTTGGATCGACATGGTAACGTTTGAAAGTGTCTTTGTGTGATGACAGACTTCACGACCTTTCTCTGGAGAAAGAAAAGAAATTGAGAAAAAAAAAACAAAAAAACAAAAAACAAACAGACCTGATCGATTTGTATATGTACAAATAAAACATGGACAACTGTAATTATCCTTTCAGACAATGATTTGTTAAATAAATTATTGACGAACTTGACCTATATATCTTTGAGGCGATATATAGAAAAAATTGTTTAAACAATGAATGTCTTTGTATCAAATATTAAACTACAGGCTCTATTTTACGCAGATAGCTTATAATCGATATGGTTATGTTAAATAATTTTCCTGTTTAAAATGTTGATGTTAAACATTCATAGTAGGAGCAATACTGTCAATATATAAGGTTAATCTTTAAACAACATTACAAGAGCTTTGGATATAGAGATTTTCCAAGCGTAGCTTAAATGTGACACCAGGAAGAATGTATGGGATATTTCGGTGCTAATATAGTATAATATCTATTGTCAAGTGTCTACTATAGTATGATACTCACTATTCATTTTCTACTATAGTATGATATTTAACAACTATTGGAAGTATGAAATATGTTAGGGTTAGGATCAGGGTTAGGGTTTAGGGCTAGTGTCTTGGGAGTCTTGGTTAAGGTTAAGATTAAGGGTTAGAGTTAGGAGTAAGCATTAGGGTTAAGAGTTAGCTTTAGGGCTAAGGGTTAGGAGTTTGGGTTAGTGTTATGGGATAGTGTTAAGGTTTAAGATTAAGGGTTAGGGTTAGGAGTTAGGGTTAGCGTTAGGGGTTAGGGTTAGGTTTAGTATTAAAGGTTAAAGTTAGGGTTAAGGTTCGGAGTTTGAGTTAGGGTTTTGGGTTGTTAAGGGTTAGGTGTTTGGGTTCGGGTAATGGGTTCTTGTTAAGGGTTAGGGTTAAGAGTTTTGGTTAGGGTTAGGGGTTTGGATTAAGTGTTAGGAGTTAGCGTTCGGGTTACGGTTAGGTTTAGGGTTAAGGGTTAGGGTTAAGGTTAGGAGTTTAGGTTAGGGTTCTGGGTTCTTGTTTAGGATTAGGGATAGGGTTAGTAGTTAGGTTTATGGTTAGTGGTAGGGTTAAAGTCAGTGAGCAGTGAACTGGTTATGTATAAAACATCATTAACAATTTTTTTACAAAATCTTTTTTTAAAAAAGCATCAAATAGTGATTTTAATGTTTGTGAACAGATTTGATGTCATTTAAGAAAACAGTCAACAGTTCATCGTTTTTCCTGAGCATTTTCCTGCAATAAGGAATGTATTGTCATTTACGGTAGGTCGCAAATGCTTCAGTATACTAGAGCCGCATCCAACAGTGTTATAGATGGTTATTTTCAGTTCTACTTTGGTATGATATCTACCATCCATTTTCTACTATAGTATTTTTTAAGCATATCACTCCAAGCAAAGCGGGAGTGCCACTCGCACGCAAGGGGTCACAGAGAGTGAGAACAAGAGTAAAGAAGGGGTGTTTGAGGAAAGGATAAAAAGAAGGACGGGAATCAAGATCAAGGCATCAAAAGATGTCGATTGACATTACGATTAAATTTTTGAAAATTATAGTTATCAGGGAAGCAAGTAAAAGGAAGGTAGTTCCACTGTTGGGAAGTGTGAGAGAAGAAGCTGTTGGAGTAGAAGTGGTTGTTACATCTGTTTCGACAGTGAAAGGGTGGGGCGGAGATGCCAACCTAGTCGCACACTTAAATTCATACAGTTTGGGAACCAGTGAAAGTAGCTCTTCAGAGCAGTTGCCATGAAAATATTTGTAGAAAAGACAGAGGGAACCCACAGCACGTCTGTAAGAAAGTGACTGGAGCCAAGATGCCAGGTCTGGGTCTATCACATTGCATATTCCAGCAGACCATATATGGCAGTAGTATACAATGCAAGGACGAATGGTTGATTTGTAGATGAGAAGGATTGACTCAGGCGAGAAAAACCTTCTGACGCGACACAAAGAACCAACTTTCCTTGCGGTAGATGAAGCTATAGATTCAATGTAGTTGTTCCACCTCAGGTCAGTAAGACGAAGCAGGCGCAGGCAGGCGCTCCCGTGGAGTTGGGCATCGACCATTCTGATGGGAGGTACACAGGGTACTTTTATAGTGGGTAAATGAGAGCAGTTTTGTTTTCGAGGCATTAAAGTTGACAAGCCATTTCCTGCCCCAGTCAACCATAGACTTGAGGTCCTTTTCAAGACCAACGGCCAGGTTAGTTTTGTCAGCGATGGCGGATTTACTATTGAATCAGGAGTAAATAGTAATGTCGACTGCGTAGATGCCTATTTGTTAACTGATGACATCAGGAAGATCGTTAATGATGATGAGAAACAGTGTAGGGCCGAGGATAGAGCCTTGGGGAGCACCAGCATTCATATGAAAGGAACTGGAGGAGGTTCCTTTCTTTCTATGGTATGATATTTACCAACTGTTTGAAGTATGGAATATGTTAGAGTTAGGGGTAGGGTTAGGATTAGGATTTGGGTTAGGGGTTAGAGGTTAGAGGTTAGGTTAAAGGTAGTGAACAGTGAACTGGTTATGTATTAAAACTCATTAACAATTTTTTTTATACAAAAAGAAAAAATAAATAAATACCCCCCCCCCAAACACCAAATAGTGATTTTAATGTTTGTAAACTGATTTGATATCATTTAAGAAAACAATAAACACGTCATCATTTTACCTGAGCGTTTTCCAGCAATAATGAGTGCATCGACATTTAGTGTAGGTTGAAAATGCTTCGGTAGGGGTAGGGTTAGGAGTTAGGTTTAGGGGTTAGGGCTATAATTTCGGGTTAGGGGTTAAGGGTTAAGGGTTAGGGCTAGGAGAAAGGGTTAGAGTCAAAGGCAGCGAACAATGAACTAGTTATGTATTAAAAAAATCAAATAGTGCCTTTAATGTTTGTAAACTGATTTGATGTTATTTAAGAAAAACAATAAACACGTCATCATTTTACCTGAGCATTTTCCAGCAATAATGAGTACATCGACATTTAGTGTAGGTCGCAAATGCCTCGGTAGGGTTAGGAGTTAGGTTTGGGGTTAGGGTTAGGGGTTTGGGTAAGGAGATAGCGCTAGGGTTAGAGTCAATGCAGTGAACAGTGAATTGGCTATGTATTAAAAATTAACAATTTTTATACAAAAAAAAAATAATTTTTATACAAAAATTAACAATATTTATACAAAAAAAAAATCAAATAGTGATTTTAATGTTTGTAAACTGATCTGGTGTCATTTAAGAAAAACAGTAAACAGGTCATCGTTTTCACTGAGCATTTTCCAGCAACAATGAGTGCCTTGTCATTTACGGTAGGTCGCAAATGCCTCGGTAGGGTTAGGGGTTAGGGTAGGGGTTAAGGTTAGATATACTAGAGTAGCGCCGATTTTTATCTATCCTACTCGTCCCCGTGAAAATTTTCTTGTTTCGCTTTTTTACTTTTCTGATTAATTAGGGTTAGAGAGAGGTGGAAAGACTGAGGTGGAAAGAGAGAGAGAGAGAGAGAGAGAGAGAGAGAGAGAGACGGGAAGAGTGAAGTGAAGAAAGAAAGAAAGAAAGGTGGAAAGAGAGAGAGGTACAAAGAGAAATGCGGAAAGAGAGAGAGGTGGAATGAGTGAGGTAGAAAGCGAGAGGGGAGGAAAGAGAGCGAGTGGTGGAAAGACTGAGGTGGAAAGAGAAAGAGGTGAAAAGACAGAGGCGGAAAGAGAAAGAGGCGGAAATAGTGAGGTGAAGAGAGAGAGAGAGAGAGAAAGAGAGAGATGGTTAGAAAGATAGATGTACAAAGCAGGAGAGATGGAGACAGAGAGGTGTAAACAGAGAGAGTTAGAAAGAGAAAGGTAGAAACAGAAAGAGGTGGAAAGAGTGAGGTAGAAAGCGAGAGGGGATGAAAGAGAGTGAGAGGTGGAAAGAGAGAGAGAGGTGGAAAGACTGAGGTGGAAAGAGAAAGAGGTGGAAAGAGAGGCGGAAAGAGAGAGAGAGAAGCGGAAAGAGTGAAGCGAAGAGATACAGAGAGAGGTGGGAAGATAGAAATGGAAAGAGGGAGAGATGGAATGAGATAGGTGGAAAGAAAGAGCGGTAGAAAGAGAAAGGCTAAATTATATTAATTATAATTCCTAAGTCAATGATTAAACAAGCTGCTTACGAGATCCACAACTAAAAGGTACCCAAGGATATTACCCTATTGCTTGGTTAGGGTCGGGTTTAGTGCTTGCTTAGGAATCTCAGTATTAACCCGAACTCTAACTCAGTTGCATCATTAAATATTTGTCATTCATATCTCACACTTCATTCATCATTACCATGTTAACAGTAATCCTCTAATTTGAGTGACTCTCGAGGATAGTATCGGGTGAAATTTTGTATGTAAAAAACAGCTACAAATCCCTTTTTGCAATTTAGCACTTCTGATCTTAAATCAACTGATCATTATCATCCTCATCACCAGTCCCGGGGTGGGGGGTGAGTTGTGGGCAGAAGAAACAGGCTGCACCCCCAACTTCCATCTGTTGGTGGTCACTCTCAGGAGTTCCGGCAATGTCGTCACCGTCGACTCGAAATTTCCGCGTTCCGATAGTTGCAGCCTGCGTTGGTAGCTTGGTGGTGTTAGTCGTCCCAATTGCCCACTTGTCCCGCCCGTCCTGCAGTTGAGTGTCATGAGCCGCGCAGCCGTTGTTGATCCGTGCCTCCGACCGATCCGGTATGGTGTCACTTCTCCTCCCCAAGCTTTTGGTCGACAGCCGAAAACCAT